ATAGCTGCAGCATTCAAAGCCTCGGTTGCACAATGCTTATTACATAAAGATAATCGGACAGACATGGCAGGTGATCCTATAGAGTTTAAATTAAAGGGGCAGTGTATAGAACAACGATTCTCATGACAGATCAATATTCCTTGTTCACGATAGATGTCAACAATCAATATACCTTTGCTCAAGACACTTCGTAGCTTTCACTAGCTCGCAGATAGTAATTAATAAAATCAACCCAGAGGGATAAAAGAGAGCACAGAACAATCAAAGATATTTGATACGAATTAACTAGCCAACCATTGTTGCTCTTTATAATTTGAAGAGCAGGATGTACATAAACAGCATTGTAAGGTTTCTTCCTGAGCCCTTAGTTCTATTCTTACAAACAGCTCTTTAATTTGCCAGCTTTAGAGATGAAGGGGAGTTCTGAATCCACTTATGCAAATCCGCTCCACTTCACTGTAGAGAGGAGTTGCGGTGGACCACGTGGCCACCCACTCCTCTCCAGGAGCGGGAGGACAAAGTCCTGCATCACCCGGAGGTTCCTGGCCATGTCATCGACCAGCCAGCCAATCCGCTGACCAGGGAGGCATGGCCAGGCCCCATTTAAACCAAGGTGTGAGCCGAAGAGCTTCCTCTCGGCTCGCTTCTTCAATCTCCCTCCCTCCCTCCCTAATTTGCAGGTGTCAATATTGGCCTTGCTATGGACTTTGGTTGGTCGCCGTTGAGGGGCCTGGTAGGAATTTTTCCACTTGGCAAATTGGCATGGGCCATTTGTTTTTCGCCTACCTCATAGCAATCGTCTCAACTTTGTAAGGTTTGGCGGTTAGGCATTGGTTGATCTTATGATGGGGGAGGGGAGGTGTGGCCATCACCTGCCCCTCCAAGCTTAAAGGTATTCCGTTAAAGGAATCCGGGGGTGTGGATCTTGTCCGAAGCCCTGGGCAGGGCTAGGGCCATGCCACAACTCCTTCAGGAACCCTGGGGCAGCTTGAGTTGGTTTGCATCGACGGGGCTCCCCCTACCAGTGGTTGACCCTTACTGGACTCCCTGCGTGATGGGCAGGAGTCAGATATAGTCGAGTCAATCCAATGCCTAAGCCAATACCACTCACATTCAGTAACCAATAAAGTTGTGGTCTAAATTTGCCCAATAACATTAACCTAATATCTGCGCCCTTGTGTTTTATTCACCATTGAGGGGGTGGTTTCAGGGTCTCGACACGCAATAAGTGGAATGGGTAGGGAAGGGACCCGATCCCTTGAAAAAGTACCTTTGCTCATTGCATTCTCATAATACTACATCTACGATACTCACTGCACGGCCCATGCTGGGCAACAAATTGCCAGTGCTTCTGATGGGGACTGAATGAATGAGTTGGAGGAACTGACAAAGTGCTAACTAAATGCAAGCAGGGAGTGACCATCCTGAAGATGTACCACAGCACCTGTAACCTTTCTAATGCAACTTTTCTAATGCTTTTTTTTTTTAGTTTGGTATCTGGAAGACAAAGATAATATGGAAACAGAAACATTGCACTGAGCAGCAATTTCATCTTTTTCTACTGAAAAGTGAGTTTGAGCTGTTGTGCATTAGCAAACACAAACAGCTGATCCAAAACTATCTGAATGTAATTGGACACTGCTGCATATGAGCTCTCATCAACCTTTATGCCAGGGATAGAGAACCTGTAGCCTTCCAGATGTTGAACTTCCAACTCCCATCATTCCACTTGGCCATTCTGGCTGGAACGGATGGGAGTTGAAATCCAACAACATCTGGCTTCCCAGTCCTTGCTGCATGCCAGTTTGCTTGCATCAATTGTGCCTATGGCATAAATAATGCAGATTGTGGTTATTATGTTTCTGTTAATGTCCTCAAATTGAAAAGTGACTCTTGGGTTTGGGGGAAGTTTGGGTCCTCATAAAGGTATACCTAGGAAGCACCTAGTGTGGCTTATGGCCTTATAATAACATTTAATGGACACTCCGGAATCCCCTACGAAAGCCAAACAAAGCACTCAAGGAACACATAATACAGAATTCTATTACAGATGAAGCTTCCTATAGTTAAAGCATAATACTACAAGAGAACAACTGAGCGGTAATTTATCAAAATGAGCAAACCAAGGAAGCATCTTATCATGTGCAACTGCCACATGTGCTGCATTTGTGTGTATTGGAGGCTGGGGAAAAGGATTCATAGCATTCTTCATAGCATCCAACATGCAGCAAGTAACATAGCATGTTATATATATTTCATGCAAGCCCTTCTCTTCAAAAAAGATTGGGGAGCTCACATTAAGCATTTATTTGTAAATATATATCACATGTAATGTTCTAGATATGGTAGGAGTTGTTAATTTGGGGATTATTTTGCTGAGGGGGGATGACAAGATCTTATTCACCTGCCCTGAGTTGGTAACTATGAACTTTATTCCAAAATGCAAGTGAAGTATGGTACGCCAATAAACCAATTGATTCATTGAGTTTGTTGCATTTATCACTGGTTATGCTTTACTCCCTGTCTCACTGAATTGCTCATATGCAAATTCCAACCCTGGCTGGGGGGACACAATTAGCATTGGTGCAATAGCCAGGGATTAACCTGATATGCACTATCCTTGAATGGGTGGTGCTTGTCTTCTCTCCTAAAGAATTAAAGCTGGGTGAGGGGCGCCTCTGTACGTGGTTGTGTTCAGAATTTCAGAAGGTTTCTGTTACATGGTCAAGCAGTAATGGTAAAGTTGTATTAAGATGAGCTTTCCCATATCCCAGAATTTATTTCAAGGGGCCAAACAATGAGAAGCAATTTATTCAGCGAAAAGTATAAAAGAGGGGGGACTGGTGCAATATTCTGTGTCAAAGACTTGACATATCTAGGAAAACATATTCCAGGACATCTTTCTCCTCCTCCATTTCCTCCTGACATAATTCAGGCAAATGATAGGCTGATATTAAATAAAAAATTGCAAACTATGATTGGTGCTTTCTTTCCAGATGCTCAGATTGCTGACTCAGAAGTAATGTCAAACTATAGTTTGCCTAAACCAGGAAGTTAGGGAAGGAATTGAAGTGTGTAAAGCAGAGCTTTCCAAACTGTGTGTTGTGACACGTTAGTGTGCTGGCTGCACTGTGCAGGTGTGTCACACAAATGCTGTTATAAGGGTTAAGTTTAACCTCCAGTTTGCTCATAAAACTGAATTACTGTGTTGCAAAATGATGCATGTCTAAAAAGTGTGTCACCAACATGAAAAGTTTGGAAAGCTCTAATGTAAGGGAAGTTCATGACCCTACGGCTCAGACAAATGTCAAACCATCATCTGACTGTTTTGTCCAAGCCATGATAACCTTGGAATATGTGCCACAATCAAGTTTTATTAGTGTCTTCAATTTAAATAATATTGGAAGTTGGTGGGGGAATTAAAAAATGGAGTTTAATGTGGGATTCAATTAATAAGTCCTATTAGTGGAAGCCTACACAAGGAGTTCTGCTTGTGCAACAGTGCTTCCCTTGGGCATGCCCTGTCAGAATGATCAACATAGTGCAAAGTTATGCCTGCTATAGTTCTTTGGGATGCATTCAGCTAAGTTTTATTCAGAAATAAATGGAGCTAACTTACTCATGTTCATTCATTTCATTGAGTCTATTCTGAGTAAAACTTAGTTGAATACCAGCCTTTGGGAGGAATTCAACATTGCATTAAGATGATCATGATGTCAGAACAACCATTTTGGCTTGACAAATGGAACAAATCATCCTTTCTTCCCCCCCATAAGCTGTTCTGGGCAGGTGGGAGGGGGTGATCCCTCCAAGCGAATTTCTGGGTGTGGGTGTGCCCAGGGTGAGGAGAGGGGGAAAGTTCCCTTGTGCAAGCAGAAGTCCTCTTTAGTTGAATCCTAACCTTTAGAAGCTTGAGGAATGAGGCTGCAATCCTATCCTCACTTAACCAGGAGTAAGTCCCACTGAATTTTTGATGAGAGCTAAAAGTTCAGATTAATCAATCTAAAACTGATCCTGTATCTCTTAGGCATGCTGAGTAATTACAGAGTTCTTAATAGTATTAACCTCTGTTTTGCACCATAATATGAGGGCAGGTTGCTTCCCTATCAGCTTCAAAACATAAATACTAGACCTAGGATGTAAAAAGCTTATTTAAAAATAATAAAACCAACTACTTGCCTAGCTTTTGTAAAGTGTGAGGCTATACTCTCTGGTCAAATTCTCACCACTATATTACTATAAACAGTCATTGCTTCCTCTAAAGAATTCTGGGAGCTGTAGTTTTATAAGGATGCTGAGAGACCTCTCTTCCCCTCACAGAGCTACAATTCCAAGGTTCCTGTGAAAAAAGATTAATTGTTAAATCACTCTGTGAATTGTAGTTTGTATGTGCTGGGGAATAGGGGCCTATTAACAATTCTTAGCACCCTTAATAAATTACAGTCTTGCCTGTTTAAAGTGGTATCATAGTGCTTTAAATATTTGGTGGGAGTGTGGTCTCCCTGTGTATTTAGGATTTATGATTTATAATGCTGTCTGGCTGAACTGTAAATACTTTTTGCTCCCCCAGCCCCCGTTCTCCATTTATGTAGTTATATATAAAATGTATTTTCTCTTCTTTATTCATCCGAAACAATGCTTACAAATATACACCAAAGGAGAATGAGGACATAAACCCAAGATTTTTCTCCTGAGACTTGAACAAAAAACTACCTTTAAATTGACTGTTCTCTGAAGATTTACTTTGTAGAAAATAAAATGTGTGTTTTCAGGCAGGCTCCAATTCAGCAAAATATCCCATTTGGTTTGTGCACCATACCATGTTCAGATTCGAACACTGGATATTTATGTATGCCAGAGCTTGGGAGGGATTCAAAAGGACAAAACCCCATGTTCCGTTGTTTGCCTTTGAATGGTGATGACACATTCCAGTTCTAACTATGCACACTTTCTTGCAAGTAAGTTCCATTGGAAGACAATGGGGCTCACTTCCAAGTGAACAGATTTAAGGATGGGTTACCAGCACACAAGGGCTACATTGATCATAGATTATAACACAGAAGAATTACAGAGGAAGATACAGTAAACCACAGACAGGTAATGATGAGATGATGAGATGACAGCTTGGAGAGAATATGGATGTAAGTACAGCTGGGAGAGTTAGAGTTTGACAAAAGCTATGGTGTAAGTGATTTTGAAACCAGGAGCGAGATTATTGTTCAGCCAATATGTTCTTGAAATTTTCTGCTGGAGAGCAATGCAAATTAACTTGTTTTCCATGCAGACAGTACTAAAGAGAGCAACTTAGCCAGTTAGTGCCATGTCGCATCAAGTACTTACTTTTTTTTCTTTGGGCATTAATACCTTTTGCATCAGGTTTTGTGTGTCACAACCTCAATGGAGTTTACCTAGTCTGTGACATCCCTTGTTGTTTTGATTTAATGAACTGTATTCTAATGTCCTCAGTTGCCCAACATGGAGCTCAGGTTGATAGGAATTGAAGAAAAACATCAGAATATAAAATGTGACAGTCTGTAACATATATAAGTTGCAAGCAACATACAGTAATAAAAAAACAAATAGTGAGAAAGAGAGAGAGAGAGAGAGAGAGAAAGAGAAACATGAAGAACATATAAAAAACTTAATTTGTTACTACACAGCAGTTGTGTTGATTTTTAGCTATCCCAAAACTTTACAGTTTTAATGTAATATATACAAAGAGGTATTTTTTATCAGTGCTGTCATTTTTTAAAAGCCTTATATTTTTTTTGTATATTTTAAAATGCACTTTGATGTCATCTGCATACCATAGACTTTATGCTGGCAGAATTTAGCTTAGCATGCTAAACCCAGAGGCCCTTAAACCCAACCTACCTGTGAGTATTTACTCACCAAAGTGTTGGACTGGATCCCTCCAGGAAGTGTAGGTCTCAATAAAGGTACTTCAGGGAATAATCTCTCACAAACCTTATTGGCCAACGCTGTGACCTCCCTCCTAGACAATACCACCATTTAGAGGCACTGTTTCTTGGAGTGAGGTGACATGTTGGTTTACTGACATCTGGAGACAAGGGGTCAAAATGTGAAGGTCAGGCAGTCTTTCTTTGACAGGTGACTCTGGAAAGGTGCAATCCTGAAAAAAATGTTGTTCCTGGAAGCACTTTCCTTCCAAAAATGTACCTCAGAACCAGAGGTGGTCTTGCAGTACTTACAGCCTCACTCACAGTGGTACTGTACCTATGAAATCAAACTAAAATTATAGTAGTTTCATAGTAGGATGCTATAGTCAAAGAACAGGTCAGATATCTGGGGATATTTCACTGTGCTGCCTAACATAGCAGGGAGAGATAATCATTGCAGAAGCCACCTCTCCAAGCCACCACTTAAGATCTTACAGCACCACCCTCCGACTTGAGTTTCAGTCTTAGGTAATAAATAACTACAATATGATGATCTGTAGAATATGAAATGTATGCCATTCAAGGAGCAGAGATGACTGTGAAGGACCACGAGGGCAGAAATGGTTTTGTTTTATGAAAGCAACAAGTACAGAAAGACTTTGGTTGAAGTTTACATCATGTATAAAATAGTAAGAAGTACACCAAGACTTGAGTTCCACACAAAACCCCATTTGTTTGTTTTTGTTGCTGTATAAACAGCCATAATTTGTTCTGTGCATAAGCAGTAATGTGGTGGTGATTTACTACGGTATCCAAAATTCAAATGATCAGGTCTTCAGCTCCCCATTTATAAAAGTGAAAAAATGCAAAGGCATTGCAAGGACTGATTTCTTTTAAAACCCTGAAAAGCTTTCAGTGAGACCACTATTTTGAAAATGATTTCCTTGGCTCTGCCTATAGCCAATAAAATTTGTCAGACCCTGACATTACAGCAGTGATGTCAATTTACCTCAGTGCAGAAGGTCATAGCTGTCATAGCTTGTCATAGTTGTCAATGTAATCTGTATTTGCCCCACTGTCAGTGGGCAAATGGCTTTGTGGGATGTCACACAAGGAAGAATTCCTCATTTTCCACCTGCTCATTTCATTTGGGTGACTGACATTCATACTCATTAACACCAGTCAGTAAAATTTCTTAGCTGCACTGTGCTCCTTGCAAAGCATCAAACTATGGGTAGACAATTGTCCAGTTTTGATAGTTAAGGGCTCAGAATACAATAGCTTCTGTTCCTTAACTACACATGGGGTAAATCAACTAGTAGGATATAAAACCTCATTGATGTAAAATTCCTTTAACACAAGTAGCAGATTTATGTTTCAGCCCTGAAAGCGAAGGTTCAGGTGATAGTCGATAATATGGTCACTGAACTGTTTTGCTATTAAGTATTGAAATATGAAATATATTGAAGGAGCTCCTGGCACTTTGAGTTTAAAAACTATTTGATTTATTCCAGGTAGTCAAACTAGGTCAGGATGAGCAAAGGTTTTCAAAGGATGGTGCAGGTTCTGTGCCAGGTTTTTTGGCTGGCTGGCTGGGTGGGTGGAATAAAGGTTGAGGGGTGGGGAGGGACATTTTTTGTGGAAGTTTTATTCATTTATTTATTTCATAATATTCATACTCCCTTGATTCTAAAAGAAACCCTCAAGATTGTTCCTACTCCTTATTGAGAGAACACAGGCAGAGTGGTAATGCTGATTCAGAGCTGTGTGTTTCTTTAACATCTCAGCACTGATTAAGTCTGAAAACCCCACAAATCTAAGTTACTAAAATCTCCATGCCTTTTTTTTTTAATTGAAGGCCCAGAAATGAGCAGACTCTTATGTGACTTTAAGTGACCAGAAAAATAACGGAGATGCATAATCTCTCCCCCCAGTCCTGATGAGACATCAGGAAAGGTATGGGTTCTACTACGGTCATGCTGATTTTTGTAATTCATTTTCAAATGGGAAAAAAAATCTGACTCTATTATGCATGTTATACAGTGGTACCTCGCAAGACGAATGCCTCGCAAGACGGAAACCTCGCAAAACGAAAGGGTTTTTGGTTTTTTGAGTTGCTTCGCAAGACGATTTTCCCTATGGGCTTGCTTCGCAAGATGGAAACGTCTTGCAAGTTTGTTTCCTTTTTCTTAAAACCGTTAATACAGTTGCGACTTGACTTCGAGGAGCAACTCATAGCACGCGGTGTGGTAGCCTTTTTTGAGGTTTTTGAAGACTTTGGTGATTTTTGAAGCTTTTCCAAAGCTTTTCTGACACCGTGCTTCGCAAGACGAAAAAAACCGCAAGACGAAAAAACTCGCAGAACGAATTAATTTCGTCTTGCGAGGCACCACTGTATAAGCATACTACAAACCTGAACACAGGAATGATTTCACCAACTATGGTGTGTTAAGTGTGGGCTAGGCCTTAGGTCTGAAACTAGTCTAGTTTCCATAAAAAGTTTAGAAATAAAATACAGATAGGTAAATGTACATATAGGAAGAGAGGCAGCTCCCTTATTCTGAGCCAGACCACTGGTCCATCTAGCTCAGCATTGTCTACAGGGACTAGGCAGCTTTGAAAGGTTTCTGGATGAAGGTTTTCCCCAGACCTTGGTGATGCAACCTGGGCCCTTCTGCATGCAAATGATGCGCTTTGCCACTGAGCTAGGGCCCTTTCCACAATGTACTGCTACATTCATTTACGTCCACTAACTTTGTGGGGTTATACTTATATGCAGCTATGGTCCGGAATCACCTTTCAATAAGGCAAAACAGTTATTTTATTTTTAAAGTAAACTATCACTTATGAGGTAGTGCAATGCAGTAGCATTACTGGTTGTTCCAATTTTAAGTGAGCCACAAAGGCACAGAGATCGAGACTGTCATACAGGAACCTGCACGCTCACCTGAGCTGAATCAGCACAAGAAAAAGTGGTTATTCTGTTAATTCTGAGTGCTGAATTCATTCCTGTATGTCTTATAGACACATATCCTTAGGCAATTCTGAGGTGCAGAAAGCATGAAACTACAGCCTACACTTCTCTTCACCTGCAGACCTCTCTACGAGATCTGGTGGGGCCATTTTACTCTCTCCAGCATTCTGCGAGTTTTAGCTGTACCACTCTAAAACTCAATAGGGGAATATATATAACTTAACATGGTGGCTCTTTCCATATAAAGGTTAGGGTGCAGAGAACCTGAGTAGGCACTTAGAAAGTGCTTCTGTACTGTAATTTCACTGGTGCTGGCAGTAAGGACAGTTGGGTGGGGTTATTTACATTTAATTCAATGTCTATTAACACCCAGACCAAAAGAATCCACTCTGGATTCACAGTAGACTAGAAACTACACTAAAGCTGGTCAGAGTGTTACTAATGTGCCATGTACAGGCTACTCATTAAGTTTGCATCTCCAGCAACTCTGTAATGTTTAGCAATTGGTTCTTATATGATTTACAGAACCAGATAGTAACTGATCACTGTTGAAGTCTTTACAAAGAAAGAATTGTATTTTCCTTTCTATTGGAAGGCAAAAACCTTTTGGCTTTGTTTTTAACATTCATTGCTGACACTATCCATCCCTGGTACTGAGCCAGATGAGATTCCCTTTGGCATCTCCTTTCCTCCAAGTTCTGTGCTGCCCAACCCCTAGGAATAAGTCAGAAGTCTGAGTGTGGTCTACTAGTGATGACTGCAGCAGGCCACTTGCACGCAGACAATGGGTTGTGCAGTGCCAATTTGAGAAAAACAACAATGTCCCTGAATATTATAAACCCCTCACCACAATGCCTTACAACCCTCCCCCAAATAAAATATGCAAGTTTTGCTTTAGGCTGCACCAAATGAATGAGTAGGTCCTGTAATCCAACCGAATTAAACAAAGTACAAATGGGCTCTGGAGCTGATGACAAGCAGATACGCATTAAGGTTCACACATGCAAGCTGGCCACATCTTTTCTCCATGTGATCCTTCTCATGTATAGGACTGAATGGCGACCCCTCCATGTGAGCTGGGCTGCACCTAAGTGCTGCTCCAGTCACACACAGACAAATGGCTGCTGGAGCAGTTCGGTTCATACTTTCCCACATACAAGAAGAATCACATCAGAGGTAACAGGTGGCCATCAGGACCTTTTATGCACAGGGACTTCATGTGAGTTCAGAGCATTCATGAGAACACAGTGGTTCCACACTGCACCATGGATACACAATCTGCCACGATCTCATTGGGCAGTTGGATGTATGTGACACGCTGCTTCATGAGTGTCCTCTTATCCTCCGTACTTCACAGAAACGTAAACCATTCCTATTTACTCATGAAGAAGGTGCTCCATTGCTTTGTGATGGTATTGTGATAAGCATTTGCAACCTGAGGAGAATGGACAGCAAAAACCACATAGGTGTGCGCGCAAAGGGTAAAATAGTAAAGAGGCAGTCATTGCATGGATTGTGGCCAGCCTGGTGCAATGGAAGTCTTCAAATCAAACTAAAGGGTTAACCAAAAACAAAAAAACAAAACAAACAAACCCACAGCAAAATATAGTGACAAAAATGAAAGCTCTTTACCATCTGTATGGAATATTACAGAGTTCTGCAAAGGAACAAAGTTAATTTTCTGCCATCACTTTCCCATCTCTTAAAAAAAATAATATCAGCATTTGGCACTGGTGAAGCCACACACACAAAGGAAAGTCACGCTTCTTTTGTGTTCTTTCAATAGCATCCACATGCATGGCTATGAAATGGATAGAGGAGGTTTTTCACCCACATGGAGTGATAAATTAGTTTTCTGCCAAAAATAAATAAACATATAAATGATACTGCAAGACCATCATAATTATAAACTGGTTCCTTAAACGTATCCCTCACTACTAAAGTTTAGTATGAATCACTGTATAAATGACTTTTATCGCAATATATCCCAATGGGAAGTATCTTTTAAAAATAGGCTGAAGGTTGCATATGGCTGCAACCAATGCTTGTTTCACCGGCCAAAATAATTTGTGTTTATTATGTTTAAAACTACTATTTCCCCCCACAGAATTGGTCAATGATATTCCATGGGTAGAGGTAGATTATGGGGTTGAAGTGATCATATCAAAGCCCTGTAACTTTGTGTGCTCTTTGAGGAGTCTCATAAAACTGAGATAGTCCCATAACTAACCACTAGCCATGGGATATTATAATATATTCCATGATGACTAGTATTTTTATTCCCCACCCCCAATGTTGAACTAATATGAAATATAGTTTAGTCTGACTGGGAATATTTTCTTATTGCTGTCATTTATCACTATAATTAACAAATAATCATAATAAAGTACCCTGTGAGATTATCGCTCATGGCTCTTCAGAATAAGTCTGCACAAAATGGTCAATGTTCTCCCCTTTTCAGTCAGCCTTTACTGTGAGGAGGGTTGAAGGAGCTGTAGACTGTGGACCTTTTGTGAGAAGACATTGATGCTCCTCCTGTTCAGAGCTATAAATGCTAAGCTTCCATGTTGATTAAGTCGCTACTTGTTACAAAATTGGTTGGGTCGCGTGATGTGGAATAAACACCCTTACATTTCGCCTTGTTCCCTTCTGAATCACATTGTGTTTCTGTGGGAAGTCTAAGCTATCATTCTAATGGGTGGCTAACCATCTGAAAAAAAAATACATGGTTGTCTCATGAAATCTGCATGTATTGATGTAAGTTTATCCTTTAAGGAGGCACCTGGTTTCTCTAACGTAAATTGTGTTCTGCAACTCAAAAAGCATCTAGGAACAAGTGGGGGGAAAATATCCAGGGGGTGTGGGAATTGTGTACTTGTGTGTGCTTGTTTTGCTGGGCATGACCTGTGCCCTTGGCTCCCAGTATGCCAGGAAGCATTTCGCTTATGGGAACCATCGTGATGTATTAATGCAGCCTGGCAAACATAAGCTGTAAATTTCTAAAAAATATTCTTCCACTAGCTGTGTTAACTCTTAAAATCTTTTGAGTGTCCCTTTAAACAGGACCAATATTAAGGCTCCTAAAGCGTGCTCTCCTAAGTTTCACTTGTCAACTTCTCCTGTACCATTTTGTCCCTGCAACCTGTATGTCCCACACATTGCTCCATGTGTGGTGGTGGGACAGTAATGGGATAATGTGCTACCCATTGTGCTAAGAAAGCAGTCTGACTGAATCTTTCAATCTCTACAAAGGATGGAGGTTAAAGGTCAGATGGACATTCCTCTAAGAGGTTTCCTACCTGCTCTGTTAATTTCTAACATTTCTTCTTGGGCGAGTGGGCATGTGTCGCTCTGAGTACTGTGGTGTGGAGAGTTTATGACAGATTTACAATAATTGGGGGATCCCAGCTGGGGCGGCCGAGGGATATGCTTCTTTTTTTTCTTTGGTAGCTTCTGCTTAGCCATAGCTAAGGAGTAATACATTCCGAAATTGTTCACAATGACGGGTACAGGCATGGCAATGGTCAGCACGCCTGCAAGAGCACAGAGGGCCCCCACCAGCATGCCTGACCAAGTCTGAGGATACATGTCTCCGTAGCCCAGGGTAGTCATGGTGACAACAGCCCACCAGAAGCCAATGGGGATATTTTTAAAGTGTGTGTGTTCGCTGGCACTAGGATCATTGGGTTTAGCACCTATTCTCTCAGCGTAGTAGATCATTGTGGCAAAGATTAAGACGCCCAATGCCAAGAAGATGATGAGCAGCAAGAATTCGTTTGTGCTGGCACGGAGGGTATGACCCAAGACCCGCAGCCCTACAAAGTGGCGGGTCAGCTTGAAAATTCGCAAGATTCGTACGAATCGGACGACTCGCAGGAAGCCCAAGACGTCCTTGGCAGCTTTGGAAGACAGGCCACTGAGTCCAACCTCCAAGTAGAAAGGCAGAATGGCCACAAAGTCAATGATGTTCAAGGTGTTTTTGATAAATTCCATCTTGTTCGGGCAGAAAATGACCCTCATTAGGAACTCAAAAGTAAACCAAACGACGCAGACCCCTTCAATGTAGGTTAGGAAGGCCTCTGTCTCCGCCTCCCGATAGATGCGCACGTGGGTATCATTCCCAACAATTTCCGTCTCCGTCTTGTTAACGATGGGATTAAATCTCTCATGGGTCTCGAGGCAAAAGGTAGTGATGGAAACCAGAATGAAGAAGAGGGAGGCAAATGCGATATACTGTAGAGAGAAAAAACAGGAGAAAGCTGTTAGATAGTAAAGTTTGTTTGTGAGGAGGGGAAAACACAAAGCATATAGAGATTTGATTGTGAGACATTAAAAAAAATAATACCAGTAGAAATGGCGCTGCCTGGCTGCAAGTGCTCAACACCCATTTGGCAAAGCAACAGGGTCCATGGCCAAGTTAGCTTATGATCATTGGAGTGGCTTATCTACAGTTTAGGAAACTTGTATTGAACCGTCTTGTTCCATTGTAAAATATTTTTTAGAGGTGCCAATACCCTGTAGTTTGGGGACTTATTTGATGCCTCGTATCATGGGACAACCTGGACCTGATATAGATCCAAGCTGAATCAGGGGACTTGTACAGCCCTAATTGTTTAAATAGGATTAAAAAGCCCAATTAAGCATATTGTCAGTGGCAAGGGGGTGGCAGACAAGTGAGATTCTTTGCCTGTGTCTCCTCCTTCACCCCCTCTCTTTGTGACCCACTACAGTGGTACCTCTGGTTACGTACTTAATTCATTCTGGAGGTCTGTTCTTAACCTGAAACTGTTCTTAACCTGAAGCACCAATTTAGCTAATGTGGCCTCCTGCTGCTGCCGCGCGATTTCTGTTCTCATCCTGAAGCAAAGTTCTTAACCTGAAGCACTATTTCTGGGTTAGCGGAGTCTGTAACCTGAAGCGTATGTAACCTGAAGTGTATATAACCCAAGGTACCACTCTACAGGTTTAATTAGGGTTAAGAACTATGATTAAACACAGGGTCACCCGGCTGCTCTGGATTACTCTGAGTGGACCTGACCCAGGACAATCTGGGGATGTCTTGACCTGCTTTGGGCCAAGCCCAGATTGGTTCAGGATCTGGGATTTGTCCCAAGACAGGGCACAGCCCTAGCGTTTTGTTTCACTCTGCATCTCGAAATCAAATTCTTTTCAGAAAAAGTATATGTTTAGATTCTGTACTAAAGAGGATATGTGAATCCCATTTTGAACTCCTGCACATTCTGAAATAATATGCAGCTGATGCAGCAATTGGGCCTGAACTGGGCACCTTGCAGTTGTGCAATGACAAGGAGGCTGGACCAGGATGCAATGTATCACAGATTGGGTAAATCCCACCATCTTCCCACTCTAGAAGGCCAGCTTAGTTGAGAGCTGGGGAGATGGTCATTTCCACTCATTCGATACACGCAGATGCCCAGCTATTGGGGGGGGGTTGGTCCTCGGTCGCTCACTGAACCAAAAAATGAATCTAAAGCACATTGGCCAAGGTAACCCAGGTAAATAGGACAAACCAAGGGTGGCATCAGGAACAAGCAAGCAGGTATAGTTTTGCTAAAACAAATAGTTTCAAAATAAAATAAGGAGCAGCAGGCTATCAAGGCTGGCTCAGAACTGAGCTCCCAATTGCCCTATTTTTAGAGTTGCAAAGTAGAACGAATCACTTAGGGCGGAAGAAACTTTGCTGAATATGAATTGAGGCTGACTTTTTACCACAGCCCTGTAGAGTCCTGACATTTCCCATAGGAGGCTTTATCAGGGAATTTTTCTTACGAATATAGGGTTCCTTTTTCTTTTGGTTGGGGGAAGTCCATAATCCACATTTATGCATATCCCACATAAATTGCCAAATAGCTTCACTGCACACACATGGAATGTCCTGGCTTATATGCAAGTGGTGTAGGCAACACAAGGGAAGTAGCCCTGTAGATGTTAAAAAACCCTGTTTTGCATCCCAGAGGTGCTGGTCCACACACCTAGTTTCTGTAAGATGCTAGAACAGCAGCACTGGAATACCTCCTCCCATTCATGGCTTGTTGGCTCCTCCTTGTTTCCTATGGAGGTCAGGCAGCCCTTTCTCCCAACTACAGGAACATAGGAAGCTGCTTAGACCACTGGTCCATCTAGTGTAGTTTTTTCTATACTGACTGGCTGTGTCTGTCCAGGATTTCAGGCAGGGCATTCCCAGTTCTACCTGGAGATGGCAGGGATTGAACCTGGGACTTTTTGTACGCAAAACAGATTCTCTACCACTCAGTTATGGCTCTTCCCCCACTAAAGCTCCACTCAGGGAGGGGGAAGGTTGTGACCATCCAGATGTTTCCAGACTACAGTTCCCATCATCTCTGATTATTATCCATACTGGCTGGGACTGATGGATGGGAGTTGGAGTCCCAGCAGATCTGAAGAGTCATAGGGTCCCTAGACAGAAATTCAGTTTTAATCATTTATTTCTCTCCCTCCACACACATTCAAAACCTGACACTAATGCAGAATGGCCTGCACATATCAAGAACACATATTTACTAAGTGTCTCTTTAAATTCCTCTCTTGTATTTCTTATCTTGGGGGGGGGGGGGAGAGAACAAAATGGTTTCAGATCGAATTCTCATGGGCTTCAATAGTTCTTCACCCAAATATGATATGTGGTCCATTACTTTATTAATATGGCAGTATTCATTCAGAAGTAAATTAATCTTTTTTTAATGCTACTGCACTGTTAAAACCTCCTGAAGGTGATAACATTCTCCCAAGGACACCAAGGTTACTAAATATTCATCTTTTCTGCTTCTGCCTGTATCAATATAATCATTAGTGACAAAAGCATTACTCATATTTTACTCCAGTATTAGTACACTTTGCACGAGAACTTTCCCAATTTATCAGTTTTAAAAATAGAAATAACAAATATAACAACAAAAAAAGGACTTATTCACACCTATTACAACACTGCCCAGAAACGGGGAGTAAAAATCCTAGAATGTGGAACTATGTATGCAGTGACACCATGACATGTGAAACACAAATATTTTCTAGTGAAAGATCAATGCGCAGTGTGGTAGAATAGGCCAAATGTTACCTCAGGGATAGGGCCAAATGGAGTCTTCCAAATATCTCCATATGGCCCCCAAAACTCTGTCTATATCACAGCCCCTCTCCAAAGGTCAAACCTGTCACTCAGTGTCTTTGACTGAACTGTGTCCTTGAAAACTGATAATGCCCTTTGCTCACCTTGAGGGAGGTAGCTTACTGTACAAAGGCAAAATCACATTTATTGCTCTCCCTGCTTTTGTCTGTGGTCCCACTCACCACTGGCATGTGGCCCTCAGACATCTGCCCCAAAGGCAATGTGGCCCTTGGCCTGAAAAATGTTACCCACCTTTGTGTTAGACTGAGAAGTCCTAGTTCAAATCCTCAACTAGTCTTGAAGATCACAAGAGGGTGTTGGGCAAAGTCACAACCTACCTCTTATCAAACACCCCACAGAGGTTTGTTTTGTGCATTAAAAAAGGGTTTGAGAGAAACGATAGACATTTTAGAGGCTAGGCTAATATTTCAAACTCTTCTCCAAATACTGGAAAGGGGAACAGAGGGCAATGGGAAGAAATTTAAGAAGGACAATATAAAGTGTTGCCTAGCAAAAATCTAAAAGCACAGGTATATGATATGGGCTAGCTGCCTTAGCAACTGTACTTCTGGGAAAGAGTTGGGAGTAATACAAGTTAAGAAATGCATGGCTCATGCCACTTTAGGATTATTAGCTGAACCCTCCTTGTTACTCTTCCAAAATCCACAGCTGGGTTTTAATACTACTACTACTATTAATTTGTATCCAATTTTTCTGCCTCAAAACAGGCTTATGGGTGACAAATAGCAACAAAGCTATCCTCCCAGCAACACCCATCTTTTGCCCTTCCCTCATCTAGTATTGCATCTATATTTCCCCTGAATGTCAGAGAAGAGCGTCTTACCAAGTTTACCAAATAGCAACACTTTAGATTTAATAAGATTAATATAGTTCTCAAGGGCATTCAAAGAGCTTTACATCCATTTCTGTTCAGCAGCTAGTTTTTGGAGGGCTATTTCATAAGTGAGGTAAATGATTGAGGGTGAAGGCCTTCACACACATAACACACATGGCCTACTTCAGTATCTGTCACTTCCCTTCTTTTTACAGTTCTTCAGCAAACCATTTCCCTCCATCTAGGTCCCACCCTGTGGGAACTGGTTATAATGCTGAGAGACACTTGAGGGAGGCTCATGCAAAGCATAAAAATGCCTAAGGCTGATTCTTGAAATCCCACCAACCTCTTTCTGGTCCTCTGAATTTGCCCATGATATGTATGTGCCCAGTGGTGTACATCATACTGATATACTGTTGTGGTAGTGTCTGGAGCAGGACCAGCTTTAATGTGTGAGGCAATTCTTGCCTCTGACAGACCCTTGAAAACAATTATTTCAACATTCAATGCAAATGCCTGCTTTGTCTTGAAAAATGAAAACAACTTTTTCAAAGCTGAAAGAACAACATATTCCTTCTGGGGGAGGCCAGCAGCAACCAAATCAAGACCAGTCACACATGCATTTCCAAACTGTTGTTCATCCTCCCTTGTGAAACATATTTCCCCCTATGTTGTCATTCTCCTTTTCTAGGCTAGTCTTCTCTGTTGCTCCCTTTTCTATGAAGGAAGAGAGGCTGCACACGCACCATACATTTAAAGCATATTTTCCTTACCCCTATCCTTTATGAATCCTGGGAGCTGTAGTTTGTTAAGGGTGCTGGGAATTTTAGTTCTGTGAGGGATAAACAAAGACTATGTTTGCTGTCAAGCGATGGCTGTTTCCACCTGCCTTGCCTAGGAGCATTCATAAGGGAGCTGTTCTGGAAGACCTGTGAGGGGAGACCGACTGTGTTTGCTATCAGAGGATGGTTGCCTTGCCTCACCCTCCAGTCCTCTCACAGCAGCTGATTCCAGAACTCTGAGGAGGCTTTCCCACCTTTTAGGTTGAAGCATAAATGGTGGGGAAGGGGAGAGCCCTATGCACTATTGCCATCTGCTTTGTTGCTATTTTTGGATAAGAAGTTATTGGTCTTTTTTTTCTTGACCTACTACTACCTCACTGAAATGTTGATGCATTTAAAATTAATTGCTAATAGCTGCCGCCAATTGCTTTCTAATGGGTACTCCTTGCAGCTGAAACCCCCAGGGCTTTCCTATAGGTCAGGCATAGACAAACTCGGCCCTCCAGATGTTTTGGGAGTACAACTCCCATCATCGCTAGCTAACAGGACCAGTGGTCTGGGATGATGGGAGTTGTAGTCCTAAAACATCTGGAGGGCCGAGTTTGCCTATGCCTGCTATAGGTAGACATAGAAGCCCAAATCCCCAATGCATTACAATGTGTAGACCAGGAAAATGAAAGTCCCAAAGCGCTTGAATGAGTGGACCTAGTGTGCAAAACCCCCTATGCTTTCCGGTGGGTAGACCAAGTGGCACAAAAGTTCCAGTGCTTTTTTTATAGGCCCCTGGACACCAGGTCTACTGCCCCATGCTGTGGTGGGGTTGAAGAAGTGGTGTTGAGGCATCATTGCTGACTTTCCTTCCCCTAAATACATGTGACAACCCTATACCTCTCAGAAATTGAAGGCTGATTCATACATGCAGGAAATTACTTAATATATCAGTGCTTTGATATGGCACATTTGATGACTCACTTAGCTGAATGCGTGAAAAGTAATGTGTTTGAGGTGATGTGAGATCTGTGGCGTTAGATCAGTGTCGACTCATTCACACATGCACATTATCACTTGGTGTCACAGTTGTTAAGTAAAGAACGTTCATGTGCATAACCAACTCTTTGTTGATACCTGTTCTACACATCTACCTCCTTATTATAGGAATAGTGAACCTGTGATCAGGGCTGTCTTAAGCATATGCAGCGTTGGGGTGCAAAGACCTGCCCGGTGCCCTCCCAAGTTGCCCAGTCCCAGGCTCGTAGGAAGGTGAAGCCGACCAGCCACCTCAACGTCTCGCTGGCTCAGTCGCCCCAAAACTCGTGGCGCAGAGCCATCAGCAGCAGAAGAACCCACTGTGCCACTCCAATCGATGGGCGGGCTCTTCCCCTGACTCAACTCTTGGGCCCTGGACTCTCGGCCTGGAGCCCCTGAGAGCCTGGTGCCCGGGTGCCCTGCACCCCTAGTGCCTATGGGTAAGACGGCCCTACCTGTGATTTTTCTGGATATTGCTCAACCATAACTCCCATAATTCCCTGTCATTTGTCATGCTAGCTGTAGCTGATGGGATTAGGAATCTAACAATGTTTGGAGGGTCGCAGGCTTCCCCTCTTGCTTTAGTAAATGGTCATGAAAAGACTTTTAGAGCCAATTTGAATATAACATTCTTTGTAATCTCAATGATATTTCTTCCCATATTGCTAAGTTGGATCACCTTCAATCATCCCCTTAGGTCACTGGTCAACATTTTGGTAAAGGATAGGAGGTTGCAGCAAATTATTCAACCGCAATGAGAACAGCATTCAAGCACCCAGAACATCAGGAAGCAATGAAAGCGTTTGCTCTCCACTGATGTGTATGTGCCCAGGTGCCACAGCTACTGGTGGTGCTACTTGCTGTTCTTTACCCTACATTTTAAAATAAAACTCTACATAAGATTCTCCAAATCTGCAGGGAACAAGCAGGGAGGAGCAAGGAAGAGTTTTTTGAACATGAATTTGCATCCCCAGATAAATAATGCAAAAAGTGATGTTTGGAAAGGAGAGTTGATATGCATGCATAATCTCCAATTACAGCTGGCAGCAAATTGTAATGCAGATAGTTCAATTGAGCTATTTTAAGAGAAGCGGAAAGCGAGGCTCATGCTTTCCTTGTTAGCGAAGTATACCATTGCCTCTTTTATATCACCTTCTGATTAGAGGAACAAATTATTTTAAAAAACCTCATCCTCTGCTGACCTTTGTGAGGATTCTCACAAAGATCCTAGGCACTTGTAGCTCATAGGTCCAGGAGGGGAGAACTTCTTCTGACTGAAGGGAAAGAGGAAAGCAGCCAGACATAGTGATTGGTATTGAGCTCAATGTTCTCAAGGGCACATATCAGGTCTTGGGGTCTCTCTCTCTCTCTCTCTCTCTCTCTCCCTCTCCCTCTCCCTCCCATTTTTAGTTTTCTTGGGTATCTCAAATTACAAAATCCAGCAACATACACTTTTTTGCTCCCCATTTCCTCTTTCTTTGAATTCATTGTTGTCTGCTTTCTTTTCCATCCTTCCCTCTGTCAAACATACTGCCGTATTCATTCCTTCATTCATTTCCTTAGGTATGCAGCATTATTATTATTCTTCCCCACCTTTTCTACTGACAGGACTTGGCAACTTACAGATAAAAACAAGAATGGCTAAAAACAGAAAAATCAATCACTAAAATACAATTAAACATTGATAGATTTAATATACTGTATTTTTCTGTGTATAAGTCTAGGTTTCCCCCCTAAAAAATAATGCCCAAAATTAGGGGGCATCTTATACACAGAGAGTGCTGAGGGTGGATTTTCTTAAATCTGAGTCCCCCCAAATAGGGGGTGTTTTATAGGCAGAAAAATACAGTACATATATAAAATCTATTTTAAAACACTTGGTAGTGTGGGACGAGGGGTGGTTGAAGATTCTGCTGCTTGCTCAGAAACAGCTGGAAGCTTTGCAAATGTTCCAGCTGACATTATGTTAATAGAGTATTCTGAGCATTCAGTGTGACTATTTTCACAATTTCCACAAGCTGAAAGGCACTTCCAAACCACCACCTCCACCTTCCCTATGACCCCCAAATTGACTTTTGGAGCTGAGGAAGGGAGTAGTGGATGCTCTCAGGGCCGAGCCATGATGAAAGGTTTTGACAATGGTCTATAATAAGTATAAAAAGAATATTATTTCAGACATAGACCAACTCTTGTATCAGTTACAACCAGTCAAAAATCAAAATGCCAACGATGTCATGGAGCTAAGGCAGAAAGTCAGAAATTTGAGTTTGCAGGCCCTAAAACAATATGCTCAGAGACAAAATTACACTCAAACTGATTGACAAAGGGCTAAAAAGGCAGATGACTTTATAGACCAGTAGATCGGTAGACATTTACAGACCTTCTAAAGTCAAAGGGGCATAAATTGAGATGATGGCTCAGTCACACACAAACCAGTTTGTGCATCAGACATCCTAGGGTACCGAGGATAATGCTCACATGGCCATGAGCAACACAGTTGTATAAAGAGCCATTTCTCAGACTCTGACAAGTTGCCTCTGCCTAGAGCTTGTCCAGCTGTTTGAATTACATGCAGTATTCCACATGGGAAATTAAATCACTTCTGTGCACAGGATACCAGGTGCAGACAAAGCCAAAAATCCCCAGCTAAAGTAGAAATATGAAGCGCTCTCTTTACTACTGCGGTGTCATTGTATGTTCGAAATGCTCTCTTCATTGAGCTATGGTATTTGCATATCCTGAAACTAGGGCTGAAGTCATAATTTCACTGGATTTCATGTAGATACAAGAGCCTATTGTTCAATCATAGAGAATCCAAAAGACAAGATGTACTAATAGAGCAGATACATTCAAACTGAAGGCTATTCTTCAGTTTTCATAAACCCAACACCTACCATGCCATTTTAAAACAAAGGTGTCTTTAAAACAAGGTGAGTTCAGAAGACCTGCTGAGTCCTCTTGCTTAAGGGAAATGGTCTCAAACACAAAGGCAATACATACTGAAGCATGGTGTAGACAAGCCCATATTCAGGCTGAGAGAAGGACAGAGCTCCGAGATTTTCTCTGTAAGAATCTGGGGTGCTGGCAGTTCCCCCAGAAAATTGATGGGGCAGAGAGAATTTCGGACATGTGCGAAAGTTAAGCTGCATTTCACCTTTGCTTAACCTGCATACATGTTTAAATAAAGCACATATTACAAAACACTTGTAAACCTCCAGTTATCTAATTTCAAAGGAAAGAGAAGCCGAGGACATGTTGCGTCCCTGGAATTATCATTGTTTGGCGAACAGGACACGTGTGAGTTTGCTCTCTGTGACTGAGTGTACCGTGCAGATAGAAGTGCCAAGGAGCAGATCTCACCACCGCCTGACTCCCCGCAGTGCATAGAAACAGAGGTAAATATGTGTTTGCTGTTACATAACATATGCGACAACCTTCACCTCCTTTGGAGATTGTTATAAAGCTTCCTCAGTTGCTAGATCAGAACGTGACAGATGAAGAACACTGGCGATGGAAATGCATGAACTGAAATAAGGAGCAGCCAATTAAATGGGTTATGTGTGGGAGTTCCATTTCCCACGGCTCAACACTTGTAGAGAGCTGGAGATTCCCCATCCCTTTCTTAGATGTAATGAACATGTCAATTTTTAATTATTAGAATGTTTATAAACTGCCAGCTCATAAAAAAAATCAAGGTGATGGACAATAAACTTCATTGAAACATCTTAAATTTATGAGATCATAAAATACAGAATAACCAACATTGCATCAAATTAATTCTCTAAAAATGCTAGGTGAAACAAAAAACCTTTTCAGCAAGCAATGATGTAACAGAATGGAGGAGCCTGTCTGATTTCAAAAGCAACAGCCCCCCAAATTACCAGTTGCCACTAAGCCAAAAGCCTTCATTTGTGCAGAAACTAAATAGCCATGAAACATCTAGGCAGGCCTCATACCATTGGACGATTTGGCTCAGTACTGTCTGCACTGATTGGCAGTTGTTCTCCAGGCTATCAGGAAGGTGTCTTTCCCAGCCCTACTTGAGCGATGCCAGGGACTGAACTTGGAAACTTCTGCATGCAAAACAAGTGTTCTACCATAGATCAGCTCCTGGCCTGCTCTTTGTGCACCTAAATATCTCCTTGTTTTTAATCAAGATGCTGTTTGGATAATAATTTTTCCAGATGGTGCTTGTTTATTCAGGGGTTGAATTTAACGTCGTGCTATTAAGAATGTTCCATCAGCACAAGCATTTATGCTTGCCAGACAGAACAATCTCCCTCTCCTCCCCCAACATGCTGTTCTGAGGGTTATACTGACCACCCTTGGGCATTCTAAGCATGAGAGGACGAGGAGGAGGAGGAAGAGGAGGAGGGAATCCCATTGCACAAGTGGGACTTGTGCTGGCTTCTGCTAGCACTACTGTTTAGTCAAATCCAGCCCTCAATCTCTGCAGCTAGGTGGCCTTTATTAAGAAAGAGCATGATTAGGAATGCCAACTCTCAGGATTTCACTAGCTGCATTTATAGCACAGAGCAGTCATTGCAAATCAATGCTAGCTTACTATAGACACCTGGTTCCTTTGTACAGGAACTGGTATCCATTTGCTATGAATGGTAATAACTGGTTCATATACTGTGCACAATAATAGTTCACAATATGAATTCGGGTCTTTTTTTGTTCTGAAACCATTGGGTCAAATCAGAGCAAAGTATTGATTTTGCTCTGATTTGACCCAATGGTTTCAGATGTCTGATGGCAGCAACAGGCATCTGGCAACCCACAGGCCAAACCTGGCCTAAGAATGATTCCCGGCTTTTGCCACAACAGAGAGGAAAACATGTGAGAAATAACACAGCATTCAGTATGTACAGGTTTCCCATAGGTGCTTTCTCACTCCTAGGACAAGCAAAATGCTATTCTGTTTCCTTGTTGCTCATATTTCAGTTTTATAATGAGTAGCACTGTTGTTTTTCTAACTGATAGTATTTTTAAAATTAATATTTGTATGTTTTATGATTTTTGAAAGCCCATCTCATAACCTTTGAACATTTCAGGTTCGCAATACAGCAGAATCAATACAGACTCTTCCAATTGCCCTGCACACAGCACCAACTCTGAGTAGCTTTATGCTTGTAAGCTTTATGGGATTATAAACCTTGTGTGTAAAAGCCTTGCCCTCTTCACCAAAAAGATTATAAGCAAGTAGCAATCAGCCTCCTAGTTCTCTTTTCTTCTGTTTCTTGTTGCCAATGCCGTGCACTGACATTAAGGCAATCAATAGAATAGTTCACTTCAGTGAACACAGTTATTTCAGTCACAGAGCTGTTCACATTGATGTTACCCAGCTGGGAGATATAACAAAGAAGCAAGCTTAGACATAGACAAAGCTTGCTCTGGAGGATAAGAGATCGTCTACTTGCTCCCACAGAAGCTAATAGACATGATTATGTAATGTTGAAAAGTAGAATGTATTGCACTCCATGAAGTATCTTGCAGTGCCCTTGGGAACAAACATTCAGATGAGAAACTGTGTGTGAATGAATGTACAATCAACTGGAGATAATGTTTACATTTTCTCCCTGAATTCTCTGCTTATGAAAGCAAACACCTAATCTTTCATGTGCTGATTCTGTGATGCAGCCAATGGGATGAAACACTCACCATGAGCTCTAGCAATGTGTGAAAATTTAGTCATATGTGGTCTGCAAATAGTGGTACTTAGCTCACAATAGGCACTGTTCACAACTGAAGATCACTATTACACTAGGAAGAGAGGTTGTCCTTCAACACCCCCAGTCAAGTTTTAGAGTTGCAATAAAAAGGGATTCAGAAACAAAATTGGCTGGTTTAGGGATCAAGAATTCTCCACTATTTAAAATAAATAAGGAACACTCAAGAAGGTGTAATGCTGCAGAAAATGAGGGTAACAAACAAATAGTACACACTAGAAGCACAAAAAACAACACAAGCCTACAGCTCAAAGCATGGATAATCAAAAACACTGTGGTCCAGATCAGTGCTTTATTTCTAAAAAGAATATAAATGTTTAGGGGTACTCTCATTTTCCTACTCATATTGAAACACTGTCCCTCAATGAGGCCAAACTTAGATTCACAAAATGTTTAGGGGTATGTGTACCCCTGTGTCTGTCAAAAAGAAAGCACTGGTCCAAATAACAATGTATCTACCCCCACCTGTAATCGATGAAAGAATCTGGAGAAGTAGTTTCATGCTTTGCATTGTACTTTGGTCATAAGGTACCAAAACAGAAATCGCAAGATAGTCTTCATAGATATTTCTTGAATATAGAAACATTCATTTACACCCAGTAGATTGCAGGAACTCTTTGGATTCAACTAACTGGTCCCACTAGTGAAAACTCAATGATTCCCCCCCCCCTGCCGCCGCCTTGCCCTCCCAAATTGGTTCTGGAACAGCACAGAAGGGTGGGGGTGGAAGAGGGGAGATAATTTTGTCAGGCAAACAGAAATGTTTGCACTGATGGAATATTTGTAACACCGTGACACTGAATTCCTCCCTGAATGTCTACAGTTCGTTATTATACTACCCCAGACATCTTATGAAGTCTGTGTCCATTACTCAACATAGAGAAAAAGCTGTCTATCTTTGTAGTATGAGATCCACAAATATTCTAACTGCTAAAAGAAGTATCAAATATGTTTACAGCAAACTTCTACTAAAACCCCCCCACAAAAGTAATTTTTGGAGGGAAACTTCTCACAGGGCCAAGAGCGGCAGGGGCAAGCAGGGCCAAATAGGGAAAGCTGATGGCTGTGAAGCTGTAAGGTAGAGAGCAGAGTAAGGCAGGGCAAGGATGGAAGCTTACAAAGGCTGAAGGAAAGAAATCCAGGCAGGCAGTTGCTTCAGGGACCTGAAGGGCCTGTTCACAAAGCAGTGAGACCTTTGGAGAAAGAGGGTGGAGGAAGAATGATGGTATGAGGGGTTAATGAGAAAGGGAGACAAACAGAACTCCATACAACATGCACAGCTGGACAGACAGATGATGTGCTTCTGGCAAAAAGGGACTGATGGATGAGAAAGTTTACAGGTTAGAGAACAGTGGTAAAGGAAGCCAAATGACCAAGAGGTTTAAGAAAGAAGCAATGTAGAGCTGAACATCACATATTGACTGCAACTAGACAGTCAAATGTTGGCTTCAAGTGTCTAGTTTCTATTACTACAGTGGTGCCTCGGGTTAAGTACTTAATTCGTTCCAGAGGTCCGTTCTTAACCTGAAACTGTTCTTAACCTGAAGCACCACTTTAGCTAATGGGGCCTCCTGCTGCTGCCGCGCCGCCAGAGCCCGATTTCTGTTCTTATCCTGAAGCAAAGTTCTTAACCTGAAGCACTATTTCTGGGTTAGCGGAGTGTGTAACCTCAAGCGTATGTAACCCGAGGTACCACTGTATATGATTCTACACCAAAAAAAACCCCAAGGCTGGTTTTACAAATAAGAAAAGAAAGAATATAGTATGTGAGACAGTTGCAAATAAATCTAAAAAGGATATCACTATATATATATGCAACAAGGTCTGGCCTAAAATTAGAAACATCTAAAAAGATAACAAGCAGGATTGACATTTTCAATTTAGTGTGTGAGTCATGGTTTGTGTGCTGAGTCCTCGTTGTTATTCAGGTGATACTGCTGAGACTGTGTAATAAATTAAAAGAAACAGCTTGTCACATCAGCAATAGTTGCTTTCAAATTTATTCATTTATTTATTGAGGGGGGGTGTGTGTGTGAGTGGCTGCCAGTGCTCACGCAGTATGAGAAATTTATACACGTTTACATATTTCCACAGTTCCTAAAATGACATGGTTTAGTTTAGTTCCATATAGTTATTTACTGCAGAATCCTATGGAAATAACATCTAAAATAGCCTGATGCTGAGCTGGCTGCATACGGTGTTGCCAAAAAACCTTTGCCTATGAACTCTATGCAGCCACTCATATGAATGCAGCAGGAAATCCCTGGCTGTAGTGGTCTGACACTGATGCACAAGGATGGGCATGAGATACAAGTCTTTTAAGCATGACACTGATGGAGCTCTGACATGGGCAAGAGCTCTTTGGTGAAGATGATTTTAGCCAGCATCACATTTTAAGACAGGCACTTACAAAGTTCCCACCAGCACATGCGATGCCACCTTTAATTTAACATCTATTTTGGAGTTAAAACAACAGCCAGGTCAACCATGTCTTTGTAATTTCTGATTGTGGGGTTTATAATTGTTTACTTTTTATTGTGGGTTTTTATTGATCCCTTTTATGGTTGTAAGCTGTCCTAAGAATATTTATATAGGCAGCATAATAAATGTCACATAATAAAATACATAAAAATGCATGTTGCAGCTAACCGTACTCAAGACACCCCCAACAGGAATGAAACTTGTGTGGCCCCCCCAGATGGTGCTGGACTCTAAGTCCCATCATCCTTGACCATTGGCTATGCTGGGCATATCAAGACAATGATGGTTTTTGTGTTTGTGTCAAATTTTGCATAAATGCAAAATCAGTACATAGAAATTCATTCATTCATTACTAGCCTCTTTTGCTTGGTATTTGGGAGCACACCCAAGAAAGGGAGTGCATGAAATTTTGATGATGCTTTTGATTATGGGGTGAGTAGAATTTATGCAGTCCTTCAAATGGTTCCAGTTTTTCTTTACCAGTGATCCAGACAACAAAATTAATGTGTTGCCACCAGCTCAGTGTTTTGTAGTATGCACTTTCAGGAAGCCTTGTTCAAATTGATATAAGATAGAGTCACAAGTGTGGCGGTAGCCATCCCCTATTATTTTAGTGAGTGTTTGTTATTGAAAGTAACATTATTTCAAGTAAGACCTAGTGATGTGATAGCCTCTGCAAGAGGTTCATTAGAAAGCCTGCTCTTTGGAAATGCAACCTTCCCCAACCTAGAGTCCTCCAGACTTTGTTCAACTATAATGTCCTCCATCCCTCTCTATAGGCTTTGCTGGCTGGAGCTGATGGACACTGTAGTTCAAAATATCTGGAAGGCACCAGGTTGGGGGTGTTCACTTTTGAGGCCAGATGCAGACACATAAAGCAATTCAAGCAATACTCAGGTAATGATGAGTCATCTAAGCCTAGAGAATGCTGGTTCATGGGGTCATGGGGTCTAGGGCTGCTTGCATGAGCCCTAAAATGAAATTCAATTTTGTGGTAGAGATGTCTGCAATGAAACAGCACCAGGATTAAGGGTGGGGCGGACCCAGCTTTCACTTTATGTTCACACAAGGTTTCTGATTTCATGTAAAGACAAAACAGCATAAAAAATGAATGAATGCTGCGGTTTGCCATGGAAATCTCCTTCCGCTTGCTTCTACCTTTCCTCCAGGAAATTCTCTTCCTGCTTCTATACTCTGCTCTTTCCATTTTCAGCAGTGACTCCAGTTAGCTCTCAAGAGTGTATTTTCTCTCCTCCTTCGTTGCCATGGGGACGCATGTCTGCTTTGCTTGCAATTTTAATTTCTTGTCTGTTTAGTTTTGTTGCATTCTGTGGTTTGAGAGCATTTCCTAACATACACTGCCATTACAGCTCTTTTGCAAGTGGAGTTCCCACCCCCTCCCACTCTGGATCTGCTGATCTTGACTTCCCACCCTGCTCAACAGCAAAGGCATCACTTTCTTAGTTTTCCTTTGAGACAAGTTGTACTAGTCATTTTTCAAGGAAAGAAAGGCAAGCAAGCAACTATAAACTTTTTGAATAGAGGGCACAAAAAATGAGGGAAGCAATAAAAAGATGAAGAAAGGAAGGGAGTTGCATGTTTTTTTATGGCCCTTGAAAAACCTGGTGTCCCTATATATGTAACCATTAGTTGTATCATAGTTGTGTAATGTACAGTGCAATCCAATACATCTTTACTCAGAAGTAAGTCTTATTGAGTTTACTGGATTAGCTCCTGCCCACCTAGCAGTTCGAAAGCACGTCAAAGTGCAAGTAGATAAATAGGTACCGCTCCGGCAGGAAGGTAAATGGCGTTTCCATGTGCTGCTCTGGTTCGCCAGAAGCGGCTTAGTCATGCTGGCCACATGACCTGGAAGCTGTACACCGGCTCCCTTGGCCAATAGAGCGAGATGAGCGCCGCAACCCCAGAGTTGTCTGCGACTGGACCTAATGGTCAGGGGTCCCTTTACCTTTAAGTATATATAGGATTACAGCTGCAGTTGCACACAGTGGAAAACAATATACTGGTAAATGTGATCATGTGTTGAGTAGCAACCTGGTTAAAAATGGTCCAAACTTCCAATGTGCTAGGAAAGAAATAAGAATGCTGAAGGGGAGCTCTGGTTTGTACCTCCTCATTTAGCCACCCACAACAAGAAGTATTGTGATGATATATATGTGTGTATAAGAGGTGAATTGAAACTATAGCTTTCAAAACAGCAAGAAGGGTTGTATCCAAATACTTAGAACAGTCCCATTGAAATCAGTAGGGCAGAAGTTAGTCATGACTAGAATCTAACTCAGTATAAACATTCCATGTGTGGGTTGGGGTGTAGGTTTTGGTAGCATCTTTTAGTCATTGCATCTAATGCACACAGAGCCTCTATGAGTATAGAAGGCTCCTGTTTAAAACATATGCCTTCCAACTTGTGGAGGATAAAGACAATTACCAGAATGAGCATGTTCATCCTTGAAGTCTCCTTCATGTGATTACATGACATCAGAATACCTGAGCAGAATACCTGAGCTTACAACCCAAAGTAATCAACCCTTACCCTTTCCAGGCTTCTATACACTGCCTACCGTATGCAGTTATTCTATAAGACTGTTTTCCCAGGGCAAGTCTCTGAGGTTAGGTCTTTTTCTGCAACTAGAAGATGGGCATTATTTGATCTTTCTGTCATTTGGTGGGCTTTTGGACTTGTAGCTGATGAATACTCAACTTACGAAGCTTACAAGAAAAGCAGTTCCCCAGATAATTGCAAACTGAGTCTGACATTTAGATATGTGTCATGCCACCCATTGGATGGTGACTCTGTACAACAAAACGCCCCCTATTCCTGTCCATAGCATATAGTGATCTGAAGACCAGTGCTCAGAACCTCAGGATGTGATTTACATGGGAGCTGAAACTGATTAGCCTTTTCTCCCTGGCAACAAATCACCAGGACTTTGGTTTTAGTTCTCAGTTGCATTTGCAGCCTCCTGCCCTGACATGCCCAGTCACATGAGGAGTGCCAGGCATCACCTTCTATAGTTTCTAAACACTTCTGGCTAGTTGCAGACATATGAGCATGTGAAATTTCACTTTATAAAGGAGCCAATAGCTTTCTCAGGCCTGGGTTTCAAGAACTCTTTCCCAAACAACACGATGGACCCAAATGCCTCTCGTTTTATAACTTACTCAACACATCTGGCCCAATCTGGGAAGAGAGACAAATATACACAAGCAGGCTACCACATACAGAACCAGTGATGAGGTGGATGTGCACTCAGATTACATGGTGTGGCGTTCGCACAGAGCCCCCGGTCGTTCCACGGATTACTGACCCTGCACCACCACGGGTTATCTCTTCCCCCGGTAATATATTCAGACTCTGTCAGGTTGTAACGTATTAACAAAGATTCCAGTTTATTGTGGATGCAAACAAGTTTTAAATACTTTGAAACACTGCAATCCGATTCACTCTCTCTGTCTCCCCTCTGTCTCTAATTCACCCTGACTCCTATGCCTCTCACCCACAAGAAACCAATCGAACTAACTGCCAAAACCCCTGTGTTGAGCCTTAAACACAGTTAGGCTCTGCCCCTGGGCTTTCTTATTGGTCAGTCTATTAACCCTTTCTCTCTCCTCCCCCAGTACAACATCTCCATAATGAGTGGGCAAACACCACACATGGCAATGCTCATCTGGGGTGCACTGAACTGGTTAGCTGTGATCTTTCCAGAGATCTATCTATATTTGTTAAATGCATCTAATTGCATGCACCAGAGCTAGGTCAGGGATATTGTGTAGATGGGCTCCATCTGATCCCATTTGGATTACTGTAACATGCTCTGTGTGGGGCTCACCTTTATCTGTAAGCCGCCTTGAATCCCATCAGGGAAAGAGGTGGGGTATCAGGCAATCAAACTGATCTGCTTTCCTTCCTCAGGTTCTATTTAGGTTGCAATCCTATACCCATTTACTTGGGAGTAAGTCCCATTGAACTCATTGAGACATGCACAGATTTGCATTTTTAACAAGCCAAAACTAGTGAGCTATCATGCTGTCAAGTACTGTAGAGGAAGACTGGGAGACACGCATGCACTCACTGTAGTTCACTGAAATTACAGGTTCAAATATGGCTTGCAAGTTTTCAGTACAGTGGTACCTCGGGTTACATACGCTTCAGGTTACAGACTCTGTTAACCCAGAAATATTACCTTGGGTTAAGAACTTTGCTTCAGGATGAGAACAGAAATCGTGCTCTGGAGGCGCGGCGGCAGCAGGAGGCCCCATTAGCTAAAGTGGTGCTTCAGATTAAGAACAGTTTCAGATTAAGTACGGACCTCTGGAACAAATTAAGTACTTAACCCGAGGTACCACTGTACTAAACATTTCCCCTGCCTCTTACCTAACTGGTTTATGCCACTGTTTTAAAGTTAGTAGACTTTGTATGCCCTCTTGAGCAATGCAGAGAAGCACATATAGCAGTTTTACATACATAAATATAGCACTAAAGAAAATAATTAGTTACTGCACAACTGTACTTAGAATGAGAATAGAGCAACCTTCCAAATTAGGTTTAAATTAGATCTCACTTATAATGTGGGCAACTTCAGAAATATAATTAGAACTAAGGCTATGTTGACATTGCTCTTGCTATTTTGATCACTGCTCTTGATTTTTAAATATACCGTCTCTTTCTCATTTAAAAAAACAGCTTTATTTGACTCATTTTTAAAAAGGATAGCTCATTTGGTAGAGAATGAGACTCTTAATCTCAGGGTTGTGGGTTCAAGCCCCACGTTAGGCAAAAGATTCCTGCATTGCAGGCAGTTGGACCATATGACCCTCTTGGTTCCTTCCAGTTCTACAGCTCTATAATTCTATGATTCTATATATCACAGAATAATGGAATTGTAGAGTTGGAAGGAACCCAAAGGGTCATTTAGTCCAATCCTTAATTCCATCAGATTTTAATGAGGGTGAAGTGCTACAGGAAATATGGCAAAAACATTCAGAAAAGCATGTTGTCATCCCAATCTTCCCCATCTGTTAAAGAAAAGTATAAGTAAAACAAAACCCCCACAACCAATTCATTTTACAAAAAAGATAGTGTGTCCAGTGGAGCCTACTTATTACACTGATCATCGTAATAAAGAATCAAACAAGAAGGCTGTTCAGGAAAGCTGGGCCCTGAGTGTCCCTACTGCATAGGTGTGTTCTTCAGGGAAACAGCTTTGACCACACATAGAACAGATGTACCAGCTCCTAGGTCTACCAGAAAATGTGTCTGGATTGCCATGATGACAACAGGAGGGATGAGAAAGCAATATGATCAGGTCTAAGAGCTAGTAGCTCCATTAACACACAAATTTACAATCACATTATTTTTTTGCCTGGACACACAGATGGATGGGAGCACTTGGCCAGAGTAATACTTTGAAACTGTGAAAGGGCTATCCCTGTGCACACGCTCACGACTCTCACATTTAGCGGTTGGAGGAACACAAGTGATGCGACTACAGCTATGAAATGTTTCTTAATTTGGACACAACTTGCTATTAGTGTGGAAGAAAAACCCTACCCTCTCCAATAACAGCAGCATGTGAGCAAAGGTGCAGACAAACAGCCACCAATTCACTCTTTAAAATGTTGGCCCCGAGACAGCTGAGTCTCACAAACACCTCTCTACCTCACACTGGTCTTTGTCCCACCTTTTCATTACCCATGGTGGTGTAGTGCACCTTTCAAACAAAACATCAAATAGATCCTTATTCGCTTTTCAAATCTGTTTCACAAACATTATTCACTAATGTGACGATATATACAAAATGCCAGAGTTCTTAAAAAAACAAAACACCCAAATTCACAAATGAGAAAAGGAGAGTTGTTGCTAGGTTTTGCTTTTTGAGGCACCTCAAACAACAGACGGATCATGGCAAAAATCTTTGTGGACTGGAGCCGACTTTGTCAGATGCATCTGACGCAGCGGGCTCCAGTCCACAAAGATTTGTGCCATAATAAATCTGTTGAGCTCCGAGGTGCCACAAACCTCTTTGTTAGTTCTGCTGCCGCAGACTAACATGGCTACCCCTCTGGTTTTGTTTTGTTTTTGAAGACTGTAACCAAGGTAACCGAGTTTCATTCAGTTGCCAAGGCAACTGGAGGAGTAATATTGTTTGCAGTAAAGTCAGACAAACCTACTCATGTTCTGTTGATTTGAGAAGGTGTCTTAGAAATTGTTCAACTATTTTTAGCCACCTAAATCTATAAATCACAAGAGCAATTTGCAGCCTATTAAAATTGCCAATATGCCGCATGATTTGTATGCATGAATTATTCATGTTACTTTCATTTTTGGCAAAATTGGCATGAATTCGAATTCCTTGACTTTACCCTTCTCTTGCCAAAAATATTTTTTAAAAGAAAAAATCTTGTTCTTGGATTAATACAGGTTAGCATCAGAACCTGACTCTTAAAAGAAAAATATATATATGAAAAGAGAGTACAGTGCCAAATTCACCTGTATACTTTCGCAGAGACTTGCATTCATACATACTTTTCTATTATAGCAAAGAAGGTTTCGCTAAACATGTGCTAATGAATTAAATCAATATGAACTGGAGTGAGCTCCATCTCAGACAATCAATACGTGCTCAATGATCTACAACAGGCAGGCTGGTAAACTGGTCAAAATAAATTTACAATTGATTTTGTGTTTTAAAACTTAATTAGTACATTTATAGCTGGACTGAATATGATTGGCCACAACATGCAAACAAGCCCTTTCTCTCACTCCCCTTGTTTGTGGTCAATAGAGCCAACACACAGAGACCATGAAGTGTGCCAGCAGTCTATACACCCATTGCTGCGATCACAACTGTGTTCACGTCACAACATGGTGGAATCCGGGGAACAAAACTCTCACTGGATCTATCAGGAATCCCATAACAATGGGGACATTCAGTGAAGCTGAATGCTGGAAGAGACAAAACAAAATACTTCTTCCCAAAACGCACAGCCCAACCCCCACAAAAGGTAATTGGGGTTGTCTGGCTTGGATGTCTGGCTTGGATGGCTTTAAAAGAGGATGAGGCAAATTCATAGAGGATGAGGCTGTCATGACGGTTATATTCTACCTCCTCTGAACGCCAGTTGGTGGAAATTGCGGGGGGGGGGGGGGGCAGACTGCTGTTGCAGGTCCAGGAGCAGGGAAGCCACGGCTGGTGGGGCCCATGTTATGGGAAGATACAATAAACATACAGGACAAACAGCTTGGGTTGAAATATGCCATCTTATTAATTACGGTTGTAAGTAGGTTTTGGCGCAGGCACTGGGTGTGTATCCTAAATCAACCAACCAGGCTGATTTTTTGCAGGGTCGATGCTGGGTTAAGGTTCTCTCTATGACATGCATTAAATAGGACCATCGTTTTTGAGGGGATGCTATGGCCCATCAGCACCCAACTAGGCATCCAGACAGAAGCACCTCCCCCTGGACTCCTTTAAAAGGGTACTCCCATTTCCCTGAAGTGGAGGTAGGTGGGGTAGGTAGGGTCATGTGCCACATAGGGTGGGGAATCTAGCTTTGACTGAACTGATGAATCCAGGTGAGGCCTCTTTATATGCCACAAAGCCCCGCCCACCCCCTGCTTGCCTGTCATAGGTCGGTTCAAATGCAGCTTGCTTGTTTGAATACAAACCTCCCAGCAACCTGTGTGGCCAAAGGAGGATGGAGTGGCATCTCCCAACAGTTGTGCAGGGCTGGAGGTTTGCTCCAGGCTCAGACCATGGTTGCAGCGGGACACAGTTGCCACTCGCCATCATATGAAGGTAAGCAGTCATTGCACTCAAGTCCTTCTTGTAGGCCTCTCAAAGGTATCCTAACTGGCCACCATGAGAACAGAATGAAAGGCTAGATGGGCCATTGATCTCACCCAGCAGCCTCTTGTTATGTGGTGGAAAGGGAGTGCCTTTTGCCTCAGTCCAAGACTTACTGGCCAGGCTTAGACCCTATTTGAGTCTATATAATGTGAGGGGAGAGACTTCATCAGGTAAGGCCTCTTTCCACCTGCCTTGCCCACCCTCCAGTCTTTGCTTCTCAGTTTGTATTGTATTATTTTATGCTCTGTGGCTTGCCATTGTTTTATTGATTGTAGTTTAGAAATTATTTATTGCTTTAGGGGTTAACATGACTGCCAAAAATGTGAATTTATTTAAGGATAATTATGAAAAATGTTGGATTGAAGTGAAAAAGGACTTAGAAATATGGACAAATTTGAAGTTATCATTGTTAGGTCGAATTGCTGTGATAAAAATGAATGTGCTGTCAAGGATGTTGTTTTTGTTTCAAACATTACAAATTTTGGATAAGATGGATTGTTTCATGAAGTGGCAGAAATATATTTCCAGATTTATTTGGCAGGGCAAGAAGCTTCGAATAAAATTTAAGATATTAACTGATGCTAAAGAAAGAGGTGGATTTGCCCTGCCAGACCTTAAACTTTACTATGAATCAGCTGCTTTTTGTTGACTGAGAGAATGGCTGCTACTTGAAAACACTGACGTGTTGGACCTAGAAGGCTTCAATAATGCATTTGGTTGGCATGCATATTTGTGGTACGATAAGGTAAAAGTACATAAAGCGTTTAAAAATCATATTGTTAGAAAAGCATTGTTTAATGTTTGGATAAGATATAAAGATTTGCTAGAAAAGAAAACCCCAAGATGGTTGTCACCAATGGAAGCAAAGGCACAGAAAAAACTCAATATGGAGGCCAAATGGCCGAATTCTGGAACAAGATGGAAACAGACTAAAATTGCAGAGTTTTGAAAAATTGAAAAATAAAGTGCGAGATTGGCTCCATTTTACCAAATAATGGAGGCATACAATCAGGACAAAAAAGTTGGTTTCCAGGTGGAAAAATCAAAATTGGAAACAGAACTGTTAGATCCAAAAATCAAGAATTTGTCAAGAATGTATAACTTGCTGTTGAAATGGAACACTCAGGATGAAACGGTGAAATCAGCTATGATTAAATGGGCACAAGATGTTGGACATAATATAATGATGGCTGACTGGGAACAGTTATGGACCACAGGTGTGAAATTCACGGCATGTAATGCCTTAAGAGAAAATTTAATGAAAATGATTTATAGGTGGTACATGACACCAGTCAAGCTTGCAAAAATTTACCATTTGCCCGACAATAAATGTTGGAAATGTAATGAGACTGAAGGTACATTCTTTCACCTTTGGTGGACATGCCCAAGGATTAAGACATACTGGGAGATGATTTATAATGAAATGAAAAAGGTATTTAAATATACCTTCCTGAAGAAACCAGAGGCCTTTCTCCTGGGCATGGTCGGCCAATTGGTGCCAAAGAAGGATAGAACTTTTTTTTATGTATGCAACAACAGCAGCAAGAATACTCATCGCGAAGTATTGGAAGACACAAGATTTACCCACCCGGGAAGAATGGCAGATGAAGTTGATGGACTATATGGAATTGGCAGAAATGACTGGCAGAATCTGAGACCAGGGAGAAGAATTGGTGGAAGAAGACTGGAAAAAGTTTAAAGACTATTTACAGAAATATTGTAAAATTAATGAATGTTAGAAAAATGTTGGAATGAAATTATATGGCTTTAGTAGAAATGTTATAAGGAAATAAGTATAAATAGATTAATAGAGTATTAAAGGAAAAATAAGGTTAGAATGTGTTAAGATAATTATAGGATAGAAAACAGAGGAAGATGGAAAGGAGTTGCTGAAACCTTTATGTCAGTTTAGTCCCAAATCCTGGGTGTAGTTACTGTTAAAGGATGGAGACAGTCAACTGATCATATGTAGCTTCCTAGCTACTAAGGGCCAGGCTTTCACTATTAGGCAGGAAGGTCTGTGCAAGAGTTAACAAGAGTTAAGTGTAGA